ACTCTCTGATAATGTTTAAGTAATTTTCGGGCACACTTTCTCAGCAGACAGTCCCAGATGGCACATCGAGAAACCGAATCGGAGGCATATTTGATGTCTAGAAACACGATTACGGTTGGTCGCTAATAAATATAACGAGGCTCCAACCATTGACGTAAAGAGATGGTTGATGCAGCGTCAATTACGACGAAGCCCGGCGGAATTTATTTGCTAATTATTGATTAGTAATATAAAATGTAGTCTCTCCTAGTTTCAAATGCTAATGGACTTAGCGTTTAGTATGAAGAAGTCATGACCTTCAGAGGATAGCCGCTGTCATCTGTTAAAGTAGTAACCTGCGTGGCAGTGGAAGATAGGTCGTGCTATATCCCAGTTAGCTTGCAAATTGTGTAGCCCAGCCGACGTCCCCCATGGCTCAGTGGCTTAAGCTGCTGGCTAGTTGGCATCTGCCTCTAGCGGTCATGGGTTCGATCCCCAGTAGGGGACCGAGGGAATGCGCACCACTGACGTGCCCTAATAGGATGAAACACGTCTGGTGCTTTTCCTGACTAGGTTGTGCTATGTAGCTTGTGAGCAGCTGGGACGAAAAACATTACAATTGCAATTATAGATTTGGTAAAACGCGTTCACTGAAGTCTGAACAGGACTGCAATTCGCTGATTATGGCACAGTTCTTAGGTCAATTTCGTATGCGTTTCCATAGTTATATCGACCAGCCTTACTCGAATGTCGTTTAATTAATTGGAGTAGAAAAATACAAGTCGATGAAAACAATCGGAGTGAAGAAAGCTGGCTTAAACAAAGTACAGAAAGAAAGGCATCAGCATACGCCGCAACGACACTTCACTGTCACGCGACTACCACTAATCGCACGTAGTCTAAGGATACTGCGATGGTCGCCCGGTCCCTAAACAGGTTGGAACCCGCGCCCTCGGATTACAAGACTAGACCTTGACGTAGTCCACCGGTTTATGTACCTTGTCGACCCATTGTGCTATACTGCGTAATGTACCCGAGCCCTTTGAGAGCTACTTCTATCCAATTAGCCAATGGTTAGAGGTCAAAGTAACTCAATCTGGTCCCCCAGGTTGGAGGTTTGGAATGGGATAACCTCTATTTCTGTAAACCTAACTCATTGCCACCTCTCTGCTGTTTTGCGGACAGCATTTTGAGCCGAAGACTCTGGTTGTGGACCTGAATCGTTATCTTTTCTGAATCTGGATGTCCTGGCAATACCTCAAAACACGTACGACCAAGACTGATTCCTCAAACTCCAACCACCTCCTGTATCAACCGTCGTTCAGATTATCAAGGGTCGCCTTATCTGCTGCATACAACAGGGTGGATAAGTGAAAACATGCTAATGCTGGCGCCTCCCTTCTTTCGTTTCCGTCTGTTTCTCTTACTCTCACCCCAACTCTCATTACTAGCTTTCCTATAAACTCCGGCTTATTGGACAGCAGCCATAATACTACTGGAGTCGAACCATCTGCAGCTATCTTCCCGCATCACCGCCTGGACGACTATCGACAACATTCCCTCATAAGACCACGCTGTCTCGTTTCGTTGGTGGCTCTCAACGTTTACACTTTGACAAATAGCTCAACAGGCTGTACTCGCACGCAAGTTGGATACACAGGGTATTGACGTGCGTTGCGGATTCGAAACTAAGATCCATAACCCTCACGCGGTTGCTGAATTCACTGCGCCCGGCTTGTGCTCTCGCTATTGGTTGCATGCATTTCGAGATGCCGACGCGGCAGCCTCTAGTCAAGCTGGGGTAGGTATCGCTCTCAGCTCCAAGGCTGTCATCGTTGGTTGATTGGACTCCGGTGAGCAACCGTTTGAGGACAGCAAATAAGGTTGATTCACAAAGTATGACCAGACACCGTTTGTTTGGGGTTTCTGCTTATGCACCCATCGACTGCAGTTCTGATGCAGCCAAGGGTGCGTTCTGCCACGAACTGAACAAGCTACTACGCAGTGTTACCAGCTCAGATATCATAATTGTTGCAGAGGATAAGTGGGTAAGTAGGACGTCTGGACTCCTCAGAAGCTCAGCTCGGTGGAAATTATGGACTTAATTCCGCCCGGACGGTCAACGATGAGCATCTTTCGCAACTGTGTGCGAAGCACCAGCTGTTTCTTGGTAGCACTGCTTACAGACACTGTGGGTGCCGATGTACCACTTAGCCTCCTGTAGCTGACCAGCGATAGATCCAAATAGATCGCATTGCCATAGGTTACAGGTGGCGTGGTTCCACTCTAGATTGCTGCTCGTCCAGGCGTACTTGCATAGACTCTGATCATGTTTCAGCACTTCGTCGCTTTTCTATGAAATTTACCGGGAGGTGTACTAAGCGTCTACCTCAATTAGCAACTGAGGAATTATCTCAGCCATCGGTCAGATAAGCCTACTAGGATGCACTGCGTACTAAACTTTCGTTCTCTTGTCCTTATGACATTGTGCTTCAGTGGAATAGTATTTCGGCCGCCAGGCACTATGCAGGAGCAGCTACTTGTGGTACTATCTATCGTCACCGCACCAGTCACTAGAGATCTGAGAGGTCAGTGGACATGCTGGAATCCTGAAGAAACCTCCCGGCTGGCTCTGGGCACAAGGTAACCAGACGGACTATTAGGCGCGAACTAAGGTGGAGCCTGCGCGTTGATAAGGAAAGCTGGTGGACCAGTCATGCTCAAGAAATAGAGGAAGCAGGAGCAGTAGGTAACTATCGCAAGCGCTACTATCTGAGCTGCGCTACTGGTCCCAGGGAACCAGGCGTCAGTGAATCAACCAGAGACCGCGAGTGCAGTGACACACAATAAGGAGTGCCGTGGGCTCGTTGGGCGGAACACCTGCAAGGTCTGTCCAGTTGGTACCATGCTTCCGGACCTCTTCTCACTCAGGTGATGCAGAATGAGCCATGGACGGTTAGTTTAGAGGCTTCATCGGAGGCTGAGGTCCGAAACGTGATCACAACCCTCAATCGTTTTCGTGCTTCTGGTCCGGACTCACTCCCACTTGAACAAGCTAAGGATGATGAAGTCTTCCGCAAAGCACTGACCTCCCTGTTCGAACATGTCTGGGAGGAAGAGGCCACTCTGGATAGCTGGAGTAAATCGACTATAGTGATAACATACAAGGATAGTCGCACTGACTGTGCTAACTACAGGGGTATTAGCCGAACGTCAGTTGTGACAAAATTACTGGCTTCAATTCCCGTTCGTCACCTCACTGTTGAACGGGAATCCCGGATTAGAGAAGAGCTTGCGTCTGTCATTCTCCACAGACTGACGCGCTCACGAAAACCAGCTTCGTGCAGAGCAAGCCGGGTTTCGTCGAGGTCGGGGTTGCATCGACCACACCTTCACCTTGCGGCAATTGTTGGAGCACCGCCATGTTTATTGGTGACCCACCTGCGCGACATGCATTGTTTGCGCGCCGGGGGTGCGGTTGGAAGAGGAGGCCAAGTAATGACTTGGTTAAGAGAAATGAAAACCCTTACTTCGAAGGTGGCGTCGGTTGGTGCATCTAGACTATCTGGCTGGGGTCCGAAGGACGACAAGTTTGGTTGGACACACTGGCTGACATGGTTAGGAGCCGGCTCCAATGGCGTTTGTGCTGTAAGTTTCTTTGTCTACCCCTCTCTCCTTTAGATTCCCCTCCAATCACGAATTCTTAGCAAATTAACAATATGATATTTAATATTTTATTACTTGAATTTTTTGTCGTTTTTTAGTATCTTGCGGCACATTAGCGAAGGTGTATTTCTCTCACGTGTGTTGACGATGGTGGTGATGCCCCAATTTGATCTTGCCTTATCTTTGTCAATGGACTATTTTGTGATGTTTGCTGTGTGAGCGAAGGATTTGTTCCACCTGCTCGCTTTCGTCACTATAAGGTTTTTGCCACTGAGCAAAAGATAGCGGATTTCATCGCGACATCTGTTGAAATAGCTGCTAACGAAGTATGTTGGGTTAGAAAGTATACGCATGCTTTGTGACCTCGCTAACACTTCTCGCTAATCGTTTTCCCTGCTCCGCACATCGCATCCCTTTATTCGTCCGATACTATGTGCTTCTCACTGTTCGCCCAATGCTTCCGACCAGCAACGCGATTGCCAGCTGCATTCAGACTTAGTACTTTTCCTAATAGTCGCCGATGGGTTTGCTTGTTAGCCATGCCCGATCCCTAACCACTAGCCATTACCCCATTACACTTGGTGGTTGTTGGCCGCGTGACAACCGAATTCTTTTATTGTGCGAGATGATACCTCACCTTTATATACTCGTTCATGCCTTTATTATCTGATCCGGATTCCTGTGTTATCTATTGTGTAATCATTAATGCACCCATCCAACGATAGCTGTCCGAATTATAACTCCATCAGCTCCCTATCCTCGTGGCACTCGCTGCTTTATTGTGCTTCTCTAGAACTCACTGGTCTGATCGAAAGTGTGAGTGCTAACGGACTCGGTGCCTCAAGCCTCAATTCTCTTCGCCACTCTTATCTCTATACTTTTATACAACACTTATGGGACCTTTGATTAAAACCGCAGCTGTGCTTTCGAAATGATTTCCATCGTGTATCCCTTTCGTTCTCATTGCTGACCTGGGGCTGCGTGTCACTGACCGTGAAGAACACCTTAAGATTGCGAGCGATTCTTTTAACTGCACTCGTCTTTGTTGTAATCTATCTGACCTTACGGTTCCACAGTCATGCTCTCTGTGGTCATTACCGATGTGGTGATTCCTCCAAGTCGCTTTAATGCTACATATACATATATGCCCCCTTCGTTTTCATTCGGTACACTGACTGTTATTTCAGGCCAACATTCGGACTTTCATCAGGAAACTACTCCACAACAGACTTCTGTTACTCCGGATGCTGGGTGCCTCAGCAATATGCGATTCCTCTGTGTTGCATTGATTCGAGTTTTGTTTTTGGTGATCTCCCATCTATTCTTATGTTATCTTCATCTATCCTTCTTTTTAGTGAAGTTGAATGGCAATCGTGAAGTGGTCGGAGTGTTGCGCGGTTTCGACGCTTTTATGAACGTTGTTATCAACGATGCGATGGAAGTAACTAAGGATGGACAGCAAGCACGAATCGATATGGCTGTCATCCGCGGCAATAGTATCACCACTCTGGAGGCCATTGACCGTGTTTAAACTGCACCTTTTACGATGCTTGTACAGCTAATCGCTTTGTCCTTGTTTTTATAACAAATCTTTGTCCATGTGACCTTTCGTTCTGTTACTTGCCTTTAGGTCAATTCGATAATCGTGTTTCTTTCGTGTAAACTTTGAGTTGCCACAGGATTCTCGACATTCGCAATCTGCTGATAAGCCAGTAAGACGAAGCGTCTGCTTATCACTTTTACGGGTGTGCGGTAGTTATCTTACTGGTTCTGGTTGCAGCGAGCCTCTTCAACAAACTTTCTGGTGTTTATTCCATCAAATCCAGTACGGTTGCTTTCACCTGTTGTGGTTTTCTTTGGTTTGGTCTTTTCTGTGTCGCCGTTAACTTACGCTGGCGCCCCACTTATTCACAGCCTGACAATACTTTTCTTCTAACCAAACAACCGTCATAATTTATGCGCTAGTTGCCACGCCATATACCAACCGATTTCTTGGAAGACTCCAACTAATCTGCTCATAGCCCTAGGGAATACATACGTGCCTTGTGATACCAGGGCCCGGGCGACCTTCGCAGTATCCTTAGCCCACGTTTGTTTATTGGTGGTTGCGCGGCACCGAAACATCTGTACTGCGTACCGGCGTACTTCTGATATCTTTTCTCTTCAACTGCTTCTTGTGGACTGTAACATTTGGTGTCTACCGTATTCGCTATCTAATTGTGCTTCTGGTTCTCGGTTTTGGTTATATTTGAAAGAAAGCAACGGCGAATGGCCACTCGGGTAGTTTTACCTATTTCTGTTGGCGCAGATGCATCTGCCAGTAGCCTATCAAAACTGAAACTAGATATTTTTGCATCAGAAATATTCTGTACGTTAACTAGGAGCGAGAAATGCCCTAGCTGTTGTGCCGAAGTATGGCTCAACTGGGTGGCAGTAAAAACAAAGATAGAACAGCAGTATTTTATGTTTGTCCTATATTCTTCCTTAACAACTAGGTCGTGGTTGAAAGGGGAAACTAATCGAGATAGGGCGGGATTAAGAAGCGCACAATACGGACGCTGTTGTGGTCGGATCCTGGCCATGTCAACAAGCGTATCCAACTAAACGTGTTCATCGTCCTTAGGCTCCCAACCAGGAATTCAAGCCGCTTCAAACTGAAGACCTTCATTCCTCTTGGCTAAATCACCTGTTAGACCCCACTACTCTTCTTTCATCCACACCTCGATCGTGTAAATAACGCGCCTCTAGAGTCTGTGTACCCGCTTGATAACACCTTACCCAGCCATCGGAGCCCAGTGCGTGAAATGACGATACTGAACAGTTACTTATTCTTCCTCCGCCATAAACAAGACGCCGAACATGCTCATATTCTCACCAGGTGTGTGCTAAGCTGCCAAGACACTGGGTGACCTTACGCATAACCTGCTATACTCATGCGCCATCTGGACCGGCCGACTTTCCCGGTCAGAGGTAACGAGCTTGTCTCGTAATCTTGCGGTGCGGGTTCGAACCTGCGTAGGGGCAGGGCGATCCTCGCAGTATCCTTAGCCCACGTGCAACCGGTAGTGGTTGCGCGGCAGCGAAGCGTCGGTACTACGTACCGGCTTACTGCTGATGCCTTTTTCCAGGTTAGAAGACATAGGTATCTGGCAATATCTCTATCGGACACTCGGCAAACAGTATGTACAGGCAAATAATGAGGTCAAATAAGTGGTTCATAGGAGCATGGCCTCAATGAAAGTTCCTTGGTTTCCAGAAGTTGCTAGATGCCTTAACATTTACTTGTTGGTGGACTTCAAAATAATAGCTCTCATTGGTCTCGGACCATTCTTGTTCGGGCTGCCAGCGAGAGGATCGGCTCTGAACGCTACTATGAGCCGGCTCCCTTAACACATACCAAGTCACTTCACGTTTGTGGATTTGATGTGCCAAGTTTCACAACCACTTAATAGTGTTGAACAGGCGGCTGCATTATAAACTCAACCCTTCAATGGAAGAGTAATGTTGCGCCGGCTCTAAAAACGGCGATTACTTGTAAATACAATCCTAGAGTGCTTGCTATTGTCTTCTATTCCATTGGCGCTGGTATGGCTGTCCACGTAGTTAAATTTCTGACTGATTTCTAGCTGATTCCCATTAAGGCTTAGTGCATGGAGTAGTTCCTACCAATCTTGAGGGAAAGCTTTACATTTGTAGGATGTAAAGAGTCGGAAACGATTGACAGCCAGTCCTAATCTGTCTAGTGCTACTTGTGAGCTGTCACAGATTAGGGCACTATCGTCGGCACACTCCAAGACAAGAAATCGCTCACCTTGCAGCAGCCCCACACCTAAGTGGTGTCCAGTGAACGCAGTTTCCATGACTTCATCAATGGCGAAATCGGAATGAAACATGACATCGGGCATCCGTTTCACACCGCTAGAGATTTTGATGAGCAGCGACAGTTTGCTATGAACACTCACTCTGTCCGGACAACGCACTTAAAGTGCTCTGATAATGTTACATAATTCGGACATCTTTCCTGGTCATATGATACAAAAGTGTACATCACCCCACCGAATCGAAGGCATTTTTCTTGTGGAACGCAACGATTATGGGTTCCAAATATAAGCGGTGGTATTCTAAGTATTGACGTAAAGTGAAGATGTTAAGGCAGCCTCGATTTCGGCAAAACCCGGCCTGCTCTTTACGAATTTTGCTTTCACGGTCGCCAGTCAATCTGTGAAGAACTACAGAGGTTAGTAGTTCGGAGGCGATGCAGATCATGTTACTTTCTCTAAGATTGCCACCTTCCAGACGTGAGCTCCTCTTGAATAACGGGGCAGCTTTTGATGTCGCCTAGAGTGACCGGAACCGCACGAACAGCGTCAGCCAGGTGCGAACGAACATCCGATTCCATGGAGACTGCTGCGATAATGGTATCTTCCTGCTATTGTCGGTTTGCACTGATTAACTGGGACAAGGCGTCGGCCTGACCGAAATCTTGCATTTGCCTGTAACAGATGTCAAACTCAGTTCAATAGAAAGATTGCCCAACTTTGCAATCTGCTGGCGGAATATGTCGGGATACCCTTCTTAGAGCCGAATATAGCGAGTAACGGTTTATGATCGGTCAATAAACTGGAGTGGCGATCATAGACCATCCTATGGAACTTTTTCACGGCAACCCTTAGTACCAAAGCATCCTTTTCAACTTGAGCATAATTCTTCTCGGCTGGCATAAGGGTTCGAGAAACATGCATGATCGCCTCCAATCCATCTGGAAATATATGGGCGATGACGACACCGACGCCGTAGTTGGATGTGTCTGCAGCAACTACGATCGGTAGCTCGGGATCAAAATGTGTTAGGAGGTCGGAACCTAACAATGCTTTTAGGTGGTTGAATGTAATTTTTGGACCAGAGCCAGAGAACACAGACAAAGGGAATGCATGGGTTATGGATGCTACTTGTCAGACAAAACAGAACTCAAAATTGTGTTGTTCTGCATCCACAGATCCCATATGCTTATTGAAGCTTTTGCCGCATAGCTGCTTTAAACGTCTCCATAGGTCTTGGCAGTTGTGGCAGCAAAAGCGACTTCTATGTGTAAATTATTCATTCTTGACATCTCGTTTTTTTTGCTAGAGAGAGTTGTTTGATACGGGCAGTCATTTTGCATTTGTAGACTCATCCTTTTTTCATTCTAATTTGTTTGAGTGATGGTGAGGAGAATCTATCGCCTTATAAGTAGATGCTTTCGACCGGGCAGCAAAGATCGAAACAGAAATTAAGATAGTCAGTGAAATGATCACATTGAATGGACAAATCTTCATTGTTGAAACTATAAAATCAGTGGAAGTCAGCATTTCCTGGAGTCTCGCAATATTTGATGATGAACAATCTCGAGGCCTCACAGTTTTGAAGGTTTATTAGCCAATGTACCAGAGTGAGTCTTACCATAAACGACGGGGCACACTTTTATGATACAGTGATCGGAATTACCGAGTGGGGCACGTTTTTTGTACGGAAAACAGCCAAGCATGATTTGTGAAGACGAAATCTAGTTGCGCTTCGAGTCTGGTCGGAAAGGCCACTATGTTAGTCAAATCAAGTGCCTGGAGGAATGAGATTTCAATTTTACTGAAGTCCCTGGCGATACTACAGACTGAGCGGTCAAGTTTGGGTAGTAACGCCTGATGCTTTTGTGTCGGGGGATGCGTATACATTTCCAATAATAACAAAATAAAACCACCCGAAAACTGGTTTACATTCAAGGAATGACAGCTGGTTGTAACTGTTGAGTAGGTAAAAATTATTAATGACGAGTTAGACCAGCGTTGATATACTTAGGTGACAACACCCCCTCCACGATTTTGAGGCGGTCGGTTCTGATGGAAAGGTAACTAGTAAATTGTGTAAGATTGTCTTCTACCTCAGCATGTAACCAGCTTTCTTGAAGCATCAAAATGGCTACATTGGAATATTTACTTTGATGTATAAAAGCGTTAAAATCCGTCATTTTCCAGGGTGTGCTCGAATATTGCTGGACAAGACCAGTGGAATTTGTGTCTTGTCAACTGAGCGACGTCTAATGCTTACTTGCTAACCAGCACGGTATTTTCTCAATTTACAAGAATGTTTTCGCATAACTCGTTTAAAAATAATTCTTACTTTGTGTGCATATTAAATAATATGCAGATGGGAGCAGTGTTTCGGAGAAATTTCAGAATGTTGACGGTATAGGACAGGGCAGGGATCCAGGGACAGACCAAGCTTCCGCTTAACGAGCGTCCCGTTTCTTGTGCCAGTAAGCGGAAAAGAGCCCCAGCACTGCGATTTGATTGAATATTCTTGATTATGTAATGGATAAAAACAACCAAGCGCAAGCTAAACAGTACGCTTTCACGACGTCATGAGATTAGGGGCAGTCACCAAATCTCAAGGAAATTCTGGGAACTGGGTCAGCCAATTTTTGTTTAGGCTACGTTTACATTCCTCTACAGTTTCGCATTCCAATAAAGCAGAAGGAAGTTTATTCCAACTAGGCATAACATCGATGTCAAGAAATAGTTCAGATAAACAACACAGCAAAGGTGTTTTGTGAATTGGATAAATCAGCAGT